AAATACAATTTATCAGAGTTATTAGAGGTCTATGATTAGCTAGGATTAACTTATTTGAGTTAGTCGGGTTTGATGTAAACTTTGGAATAAACAATGACGTTTGTATAGCATTTATATTGTGAAGAGTGGGTTTAAATTGTAAACAAAAGGTTGGGAACACTTTCCCTTAAAATTCATTGACACCCAATGCAAACCTATCCTTCGAAAAGGCACCTTAAACAGTATAACTATATAAGTATATATAAAGTTCTATCTTACCACTATTTTGCATGTTTGTTTTGGACTTTAATTCTGACTCAGGTAAGTCAGTATTTTGAAAATACATAATAATCATTTTGTAGGTATGTGATAGATGTAATAAGTAATCTCACATAACGATAAGTCACGAGGACATAGACTTCCATCGTTGTTATAAGTTAATTTAAGTTCCTATTAAAATTTTCAATAAATCTCTATTAGCTCTAAGAAGAAAGGAAACATAGTAAAAATAAAAAGAAATATCATTCACTCAATACAAAAGAAGTTTTTTTTATAGTAGATTAAAGTCGTTGTTTCACATGTCCATAAAATTTGCTAATTTGTAAATCAATTTAGCGAAGAATTATCATATTCATGTACATAATACGAATACATTATAAATACCAAATACCAGACCATGTAAATAAATTTAATCAATTGAATATATCTGTATGTCCGGTTGTACCTTGGTCAACGCACAATTAATCCTCGTTGGTCATATCAGTGACGTCACGTAGGGCGATCTTACAACTTGGTGACACAACAATTTCATATTAGCCAATGACGTTAGTGTGTAAAATAACCCAAGGTTATCCTACTGTGTGCGCATTAACTAAGTTATTTTAAGCATAGGAATTTCTAAAATTATTCTGTACGCCAACACTTAAAGATAATGGGTGTCGTTTGATTTTTAATATGTTGATTAAATATGGCATTGGTTCATTAATTAAATGAGTTTTAACATTTGTTATGTTTGTCTGAAATCAATCACTTTCCTTTGTACAGGAAAAATGTGGCAAACATTGGATTGGGCCTATATTTGGCAAATCTCATATTTCAAATAATATCATGAGTCGTTGATATTCTTATCAGATTTCAGTTATTTAACTTTTGCCATTAGATGATAGAAGTTTATTAATTTATCAAATGTTTAATGTCTAAAAAAGACAATTATGAATGAAATGGAATCATTTTTCCCTAATGATGTTTGGTATGACTTTCTATATTAGGAAATTCTTTTATTAGTAACATGGAAACCGAGTATTCCATTAGTGCTCTACAGACAATCTCCACATCCGTCACGTGGAGTACATTAACAACCTTATAATGATTTGTTAAATGGTTATGCTTCTTATTTGGATAAGGAGGCTTAGTAACAAAGTAACAAAATTTAGTATATGATTTTCTATCATCTATGTATAGCGTACCACTCGACTTTGCCCGCTCATTAAACATACAGGAAAATGTTATATTATTTCCTCATACAGACATAGGGTCTTTCGTTCCCTCATACAGACAAAGGTTCTATTGTCCCTCATACAGACAAAGGTTCTATTGTTCTCTCTTACAGACAAAAGTACTATTGTTTCCTCATACAGACAAAAATCATATTTGTATATAAAGTCTTCGTCAGTTTACGGGGATGAAGGGGTCATGGTGCACATCAAATTAATGTCATCGTTTCCTGTAGTAAATTATATAATTTAGAGCAGTATCACTAAAATAAAATACATTTTAGATATGTTTAAAGTCGTTGTCAAAAACAGTACAGCGAAACGAAGAAGTAAGCTTGCAATCACTACTGTCGCTTAATCAAACAAGCCGCCAATAATTTCATATGCATTCTCACTTTTTTTCTTGAATAAGGATTTTTTCAAACAAAAATGTTTTGGTATATATTTATTTACTAGACGAATATCAAATAGTTAAAACAAGTCATGATTAAGTATAAAATAAATTAGTATTCATAGATTTCCTGATTTAAGTGTGTGTAAGATAAGGAATGCTGAATTCTTTACACATTCCTTCAGTTGTAGGTCCGGTTTAAAATAATTTGGTCAAGGTTCTTTTACTATAAATATAAACATGGCGTCAATCGATAGATAGATAGATAGATTGCATTATTATCTTTGGTTATGAAACACTATGACGCAACTATGATGCATTATGTGACGTTTTAAAAAACTTAATTAGTGTAACCTATCTTTAGATGAAATAAGAATGTTCTTTGTAAAAGTCATAATAAATTATTTATTTATTTATTTATTTTTGCTTTCTATTAAACACTTACAGATTATTATGTAAGTGTACAATAATGACTAGATGATGTTATAATAATATTTCTTGCAGATTTTATCTGGAGCTATATAATTGTATATCACCACCGTTTTGTGATTATCATAGAAATTGTATAACACTTGATTTATAATCAACATTATGCACATAAATGTAGTGGGAAACGTTACAATTTTGTTAATTAATTCTTTTTCAGATTTAATTATAGTATAAAAAATGCCCTCTGTCAAACATGGTATATTAAAAAGATTATTTTATACGTCCCTGTAGTAATAAAATCACGATTGTTTATACAATACATCTAAATAACTCGAAACACGTGTGCTAAATGACATGTTCTTATTGATAATGTGGGCGTACATGTGTTTCTGTTTGTCAACATTAGTGTTCTACAAACTTTTGAGTGACAACCCTAATTCGATTACTTTTTTAATTCATTACATATTTTGAGACGACAGAAATAACTTTGTAGTAGGTGGTGTAAAATTTTTTTATCAACACGCGGAAATAGTTGAATCTCAATAAAGCGTGAAACAGTAACAGTTTAAAGCAAATTGTCAAACGATACATAACAACTCTTTTAATTTGATTACTGTCATGGAATTGACAAAACAACTCGCTATTGTAACATGTTTTTTTCTGCTTATTAAAACATCACACTTTTCAGTGGTTCTTAGAAATATGCAAGATTTTCATAAATGCGCTTCCCTCATTTTCGGATGTAAGTGTCGGAGGACCTGATTAATATTTTTTTTTCAAAATGTGCTTTTGAAATAAATAGCTGTCTACTGATTCAGAAATAGGTATTTGAAATGTTCTGGTTTACATTTACTTCATGTTGTATAGATTGCTATCTCAGTTATTTACTTACTGACAAGAAATAAAAACATTTATAGGACTTACAAGAAATATATTTATATGATATTTAAATATTCCTAATTGAATAGTTGCAGTTTCTTAATTGTTATTTTTATTAGCATTGTAATTTCAAATATAAGAGCACTGTAGATTTCATGTCAATAAATTAATCAGTTTCGATAAGAAAAATACATACATTCATAATTCATTGGTTCATAGATTCAGAATAATAGTCAGTTATGTTGATTAACAAGTGGCGGTGTCCCGAGTGGTTAACGCGTCGTACTAGTAATCTTAAGTTTCCTAGCCGCATGGATTCAAATCCCATTATAAAATATGAATATTCGTAGAATCATTCTTGAATGAAATTACAAAGGAAAAAAAGAAAGAAAAAACACAGATAGGATGACTATTTGTAATAATGCATGTTCGTAATGTCAGTGACTGCACTTGTCAATATGTTGTGAGACAAGTATTAACGACTTTGTTGTGATGAAAACATTGCAAACATAGTTAATATTATCTTTAAAACCACAGTTAAAATGTTGCTGAACTGACGTTAATGAATTCCTGATTCAAAGGCATGCATTATTAATACCGAACTAAATTGGCCAAATATCCTCAACGTCATGATCCTTCATATGAACATGTTTCTATAAAAACAAAATCTTGTTTTAATTTAAAACATGAAACACAGTGTGTATTGCCTGTTTTTTCTTCAGGAAATTAATTTTATTTCAATGAGAACTTCTTCCTTGTATTTAATTTTGCAGTACTGAATTTATTGAAATATAAATTCACTTAGACGAAACGTTTCACCACGTGTAAAACTATTTCGTTCTGATACTTTTTTGTATAAAAACTACGTCCAGGAGGGATTATTACAAATTCATTATGCATTGAAAGTCTTCTCAGCCCCACCATGAGTTGCTAGCAGAAGTGAGCAAGACCACCTTCCTTCCAGTGGTAATATGGATACATCAGTCTCGAGGATAGCTTTATTCAGATTTTATCTCCAAATTTTATATTGATAAAGGATGCCTTGGTTTTGTATTATCCTTGATACTGTAAGTCATGTATTTGTTTAAAATATTGACAGTTCGCTCGTTGTTAAATTTGAAAGACAGAAGTAACTTTTAATGTTACTTCTTCTCTTGTTCATATCTGTTAAATATTACAGCACCTATTGAACAACCGGGCAACCTGACACAATGACAAGAGATGCTCATGGTGAAAAATTCTTTCTAAATAGATTGAACAATTTACAGACCAGTCATAAACTTCGTCTTTTATAAACAAATTTTTATAACAATATACATGTATATACCAAGCACAATGCCCCTTAACTGATGTAGCAAACAAAGATATGATGCTGCAAATCGAAAAATACGATAACTGTTACGGAAAATACATAAATAAGTATGTCTGAATGTCATTTTATGGAAAGAATGTTAATTGGTTCAACTAATTGATAAAATGTTATCCCTTTATGTAACTTAAATAGTGGTTTTAATTTATCTTTTTAAATGATAATGTGATAACAAGCCTTATAAATAAACATTATAAAATTCTTTACTTTTTTCTTGTGGTGAATGTAATTTGTTCTTTCCTATCTCAAATATTTCCGTAGCGACGATTTTCCAATGACACAAGTTAGTGATGATGGAATTTAGAGTAATAGTTGCAGGGACTTATATTCCTTTAATCTCAAAGTAATACTTAATGTTCATACATTCCTGATGTAAAACAGAATATGTATTTTATTAATTGCTTAAAAAATTCGTTTAAAATTAAATATTTCGTTTAAATTTTATTTAATATCTTGAGTACAAATGCTATACAAATACGAATATGCTATGAGAGAAGTATTTATAATGATTATTGTTATCGTAAAACTAGCTCGTGTCGCAGTATTGGATGTGTGGTATTTCTAGTGGAACAGATTGCAAGCTTTTTATAAGCGTATTTTACTACGATACTTGCTTTGCTTGAGACTTTTTTTATTTTATTTCAGAGGCGTGGCCACTGACAATACCGTTTATGGAAGACTATTACAAGGCGGACATTAAGAGAGATTGTTATCATCTATAACCTTTCGATGTGATTATTGACTAAACTCCTACATGTTTAGGACTTATAGAGATACTGGCAGCTTTAGAAATCTGTATAAATATCATGTGAAAAATTGACGATAAATAGTTGACCGAATACAATTACGACTAAAGTTAATACAACTATTTGAAGAAGGTGATTTTGATATAGGTTCTCAGGAAAGTGAAACACAATTCAACTGTTAACTTGAAATTCCACATATAATAAAATATCGATACCTGATCAACTAGATTTTTTTTAGATTTGACGACAGATTTATAATATATATATATATATCTAAATATATATTTCCTTTCTTTACTAACAAAAAAATATTTATTGATTTATTGAGATAAAAGTATAATATTGAAAATTAGAAGCAACAACATAGAAAAAGGAAACGGGACAGATGGATTGACTATTAGACAAATAATGATTGAGATGTAATCGTGCTGAGTAAACGAAGAGACGATATTTTAATGACAGTTTTAAATAAGAAATTCTGACGTTGATATTACAATTGGATACTGGTAAAAATAAAACAAATCTGCAGATCAATCGATACAATAATTATTTAGAGATAGATAGAAATTGATAAATATACGTGCAAGATTGAAATTGAAATGGAGCAGCAATACAGCAAAGTGAGCCAAAACATGCTTGGGAGCCTAGAAGAAATGTGTTTGACTAAAGTAAATTATTTTAGAAGAACTGTAAATCAAACTGTAAACAAATATTTAATATGTTCAAACAATAGATATAGAAAAACACTATGGAATATTTATTACACAGTTTTATTATTGACAATTTTATTCTACCCCTGCACAGCCGCTCATACATGGGCAAGTCCAGGATGTCATAAAGTTGGTACGTATTTTATAGATACTACCTAATTATTTTATTTATAATTTTTTTTTAATTTATCTATTTTATTTTTTTCTTTGTTGTTTTGATTTCAATAACCCCCGATTTAAGAATAAAGCCATATTTTTCACTTGTAAATCTCGCATTTTATTTTAATGCTCATATTTTTTCCGAAAATTAAATATGATTTAGTAAAACGAAAAAAAGTCGAAATACTCTAGTCTATGATGTATTGAAATAGTTCATTCATGTATCTAAGTTACCAGTTTATTTTCCATTTGGTTATGGATAAAGTAAGCTTATAGCCTTCTTTGTAATTGTAGAAATTATTTATCGGTATTTATCACTAATATAATCACCTATGCTCGGTGTACTTTATTGATATTGAATGGTCTACTTTTTACGTGTTAATTTGTTTCCCCTAAAATCCTTAAGACAGGGAGAAGGAATAATCCAAAGTTCAGCCATATTCTATTATATTTCAAGAAGTTTTATTACCTTTGGAGGAGAGGGGGGATTTATAAGATGAAGAAAATATAATGAATACGTGTTTTGAATCGTAGAAAAGAAATCAGAGGCAGCATCTTGGTAACTGATTGACCTTTTATAAGATTTCTATCCAATTTTGGGCTAATGAAACATAGTTGAATAGACAAGAGAGGAGTCATTATGCGTTGAATTATTACCAAGAATAAGCAGTAATGACGTCTTTCCTTAGTAATCATCAGTTGTTTTACATTGTTCCATAATTTATCGAACTCTTGTTCATTATGTTTCTCCTAAATGTTGATAAAGTAAGGAGTGTTAAATATCTTCCATAAAAGAAAAAAAAATCATATTTCAAACTCCTAACAAAGCGAATATGCTGTGAATATTATTTCATTATTCTAGAGGCCTCAAGGTAATATAACTTTTTTTTTTATAAATAATGTTAATGATTAAATATAGAAAAAAGTCTAAGTTGGCATCTAACATTTATACATCAAATATCAACAGCAATATTCCTTCCGGTATATAATCAATAATCGTCATGTATCTTTCTACATAAATCATAATATCAATATCAAGTTCATTTTAAGCAAATGTCTTTATAATACCATTTACTTGTTTATGTCTGCCTCTTTCAATTTAATGGCATGAACGCCTAGCAACGTGTCCGTTACCTAGTGCTTCGAATTACTTATCATTTTAAATACAAAGAAAACCTCAGGAGGAATATGAAGGAATATTAAATACAGATCTTTAAAGTAAAAATTATAGAAAACCTTACAAAAATATTTCATTTCTTTAGATGCCATCATAAAAAAGATGCAACTACTTCATCAGCTGAAAGGGGTTGGGCATATGGTTATTGCTGATGAATTTGAATAAATTGCCCTTAGTTTAGCTCAATGGTTCTAATTATAATGAACGAAGGGTTATCTGGATTATGTCTGTTTGTCCCATTTCATCAGTGTACTTCGTGACGGGTTTTCAATATACAATTTCACATCATCCTTTTTACCAAAACATTTCATGTTTCGTTTCAAATTATTTAACACTACCTCCTTTGTAATATAAACAACATATTTTTGACATATGATAGTTCTAATTGGCATTTATTTACTTCAGGTCACACCCGACTTATACAAGTACCGGATTGTGTAAAATTCAACATTACCTTGAACGCTTGTAGAGGTTTCTGCAAATCGTTTGCCATTCCATCTCCCAGCCATACGCTTAGAGCCAATGCCAAACATCAAATAACATCACGGGCTGAATGCTGTAGTATAAAAGAAACGCATGATGTAAGTATTGCCATATTATAAAAATAAATCTGGGCACATGAAGTGGTGTTATCAAATTATAGATATTGTTTTAATAATATTAATTTCGAATCAAACAAAGATCTAAATTTTGCTTCGTAACTTTTTTTTAACTAACTAGAAAAAAATGGCGGTTGATCATTTCTAGAATATTGTTCACATTCGATTTTTATTGAACAACAATAGAAATATCCCGGATTTCGATAAATGTTGTTTTTTCATATTTTTTTACCACTTGGTAAAAGCGTTGATCACTTTTATAACTGTCGTGCACTGTGTTGCTATATCGGTGAAACTAGGTAAGATGGGGAAACCACCATTTACCGATTCCGGATAATCTATAGCTGCAATAATGCTACTTAATTGAGATTCAGATTGAATAGAAATTTCTATGTATTGTCGATATATAAATTTATTACAAATATAGGCTTATACTAATTTTAGACCTGCAAACAAAATGAAACGGACATAAATATGAACACGTTTGCGTTGGATTTCAAAGACAAAAATGGTAAAAAAAACTTGGAAAGTTTAGAATTTTATCTTTACTGTCATACAATTTATTGTTATTTTTTCAATTTCAGGTTAAAGTTCTAGTGAACTGTTTACATGGTGAAAGAGAACTTATTTTCAAATCAGCAAAAACCTGTTCATGTTCTATTTGTTTTAAATAAGTGTCGCGTATATCGGAAATACAACTATTGGAAATGGTAATGCTGGACAACAATCTAAGAAGATGATTATCAACCGACGCCGGCGGAACTTGTCTCACTTAGTTCATAATTTGTTCTCAAATATTTACATTATTCGTTATTGATCTGGGTCATTTCTATCAAGATTTATATTAAATGCTTTTTTGTGTGTTAAATTTGAAAGCTTTTCATGTGACAAGACACATACTAGCAACCCTGCGCAAGAAACTAGGACAAGGTGTTATGTAATGCAGCTGAAAATGTTTCTAGATGAATATACTATTTTAACGTTTGACATCTTGAAAATACGATACAGGGATATATTCTGCGATATAAGCAGATTATTGTGATAAACAAACGGATAAAGACATACTTTAGTTGTTTGATAGATTTGTAGTGTTACTCATTTTTATCAAAAGTTTGCGTACGAGAGTCTGTAAGAAGGAAATAGAAATGCAATGTTATCACGACATTGTTACATGAGACATACGTACTAAGAAGGTTCGGCGATAAAACACAGGACGGGCGTTTAGTTTTACCGCTTTGAGATGACTTTATGCAAGAATTGAATCTAGTCAGATGCAGTAAAAAGCCATGTCATGTGTGTACACAATAAGCATCGTTATTGACTTTATTATTACAACTGATATCTTAATGTATCAATATTGTTTAAATGTTAAGTTATTTTTCGAACAATAATCATATATGTATTTATTACTACTAGTCATATTGGTTTGCCTGAAGGTTAATTGATATTTTGAAACTCATTTCTTGCACATGCATGTGAACAGAAGATAACATTGGAAGGTATTTAAAGTGTTGCAAATAAAATAAGAAAAGAAAATTATGGTTGTCTTTTTATCTTTCTACAGATGGAGAAATGTTGCGTCTTAACTAAACTTAAAACCCATGCTAAACAGCCATTAGAACTCACCAGACTGTATGCGAAGAACTATACATTTAAAACACCCTCGCATCATGAAATAAGAGTAAATGATCATTGCTTAAACATAGCAAACTGCTACAAGCTCTTACACTGTCAAGATTCACCATCAATGCTGCAATTAAAAAGTTTCATAAAAACAGATATAGCAACATTTGTTTAATGAAATGGGTTTCATATCGACTCCCGCTCATTTTGTTGTGTCCAGACGACCAAAATGTGTTAAGTTTGAAAGTCGGCATTCTAAATGTGACGAAATTTAGAGCACAATTGCCATTTACATGAAAAACTACGCCTTTGGGTCATCCGAACTTCAACAGAATATTAACAAACATGGCTTTAAGTAGCAGTCCTAATTGAACAGTTCAGTTCCGCGATTTCATAATTTTATTAGTTGTTTACCCTTGTACTTAATATACCTCTAAGCCAACACAGTTAAAGTTGATTTGATGAGAAAAGTCCTACATTTGCCGTTCACAGCTCAATTAGGTTAATAATAGAGTGCCTTTACAAATATAGTAAAATATACAATCGGCGTAGCGCAGTTGGTAAAGGTGTCATATGTTCAATTTCTGGATAAGTTGCAACGTTCCGGGCTCTACATTTCAAAATTGAAATACTAAAAGTTTATTCTTTTTTTTTCTTTTGGCTTGGCTTGTAAGGATTACAAACATGTTTTGTTTTTCATATATATTTCATTCATGCTTCGTATCCTTTTCTTTAAATATCTTATTATGCCTTTATTTGACGATGAATAATTTACTTAAACACTTCGTTGTATATACGATCTAATTTGCCATTAAAAAAAATTAATGTATTTTCAGTCATATCATGCAAGTTTGTGCGATAATTTACTTAACAAGATGCATAATTTTTTATATGTACACGCATTGCGTTCAATCTAAATTAGTTGGGAAGAAATACTTGTGCACAGTACTAATAGTACTTGTACTTTGCACTACTCACTACTGGCATGCGAGCAGTTCCCCGTTCAAAACTAGTAGTTGCTTAGACATATTTTTTTTTATCACGCTCACTTACCAAATTACCAAAAAAATTCTCTTACACATAAATATTCGGCTCGTCACACAAGTTATGGAAATTCCATTGTGTTCTAAACATAAGACAACCCTTTGTTACGAGGCCTGAAACGGGGTACCGAAAATATCCATTATTTTGTATGAAGAGAAGTAGAGGTAAATATTCCCAGATATAAAGAGATGTCATTCACGACATAGAGCGTAGACTAAACTCTAGTATATATTACCCGGTACCGATACCCCAACGCCTTCACATGGCAAGCTTATATGCATGATAGTTTACTCATTAAAGCCATAAAAATTATTTAATAAAGTAATGTAGATTAAAATTCTGATAATTTAAAAGGTTTTGTCGCACTTCCCACTTATCTGTACACAGGTGGTATTAGTGGAAATCCCTATAACAGACTTCATTTGTAAGTATTTTTGCGCAGGCCACAAGAACGGAATCCCCCAACGTTAACAAGGTCACAATTTGAAAATAAAAATTTTGTGTACGTATTGCCACGGTGTTCCGTTTGGACACGTTTGAACAATCGTGACATTTTATTTATTCTGTACTCGCGATGCACGATGGTACGATGGTGAAAACGCAATGGCACGATGGTGAAAACACGATGGTACGATGGTGAAATCACGATGGTACGATGGTGAAATCGCGATGGCGCGATAGTACGATGGTGAAAACGCGATGTTACAGCGCGTTTTCACCATCGTACCATCGTGATTTCACAATCGTACCATCGCGTTTTCACCATCGTGCCATCGCGCTATCGTGTTTTCACCATCGTGCCATCGCGTTTTCACCATCGTGTCATCGTGATTTCACCATCGTACCATCGCTTATTTCACCATCGTACCATCGCGATTTCACCATCGTACCATCGCGTTTTCACCATCGTACCATCGCGTTTTCACCATCGTACCATCGCGTTTTCACCATCGTGCCATTGCCTTCCGGTGGACATGCGCATTGTACATCTTTATCAACACTGGATGAATGCATAACTATGTATTATATGAGAGGCTATATGTACCGAGACATTTTAAATATAGTGAGGCTTAAAACGGGATCTGATCTCAGCAGACTTTTTAATAAGTGTTGTGTATTAAGATTCAATCATTTACAACTTTATTAACAACGGCGAAATCATGTCATGCTAAGCACATAGTTCCCTCTAAAATTCGAAATGACGTAATTTTAGCGCGGTACTTCATAATATGCGCTAAAATGATATTGTTGTATGACAGGCGACTTATCTGGCACCCTCCATGCCAGATGAATTTTCCAGCATGGGTACAACTAACGGAAAGGCCAGTCTGCTATGCAAAAAAAATATATATAACCCAAAACAAAAACACCGTTATATTTCTCCTTCAAGCTACTCAATCAAAAGTAAACACACATACACAAAAATATGAGAGCAGGATAAAGGACCGATATTTGATAATTCTATAAGCTTAACCAGACCGCTTATGGATTACAGTAAGGATTTTTGCCTTTGTGCATTCAAAATAGCAATTAACACCACTTTAACGAAAAAAGAAGAACTTAAAGAAATGTTGATGTTTATTTTATTCAAAGTTTTAAAGGATACAGTATTCTTGTAAAAATTTCACGTTATTCTTTATTAACTAATTAATTTACTCCCAAGAAACGGTATAGTTTGCAGTAGCTTGTGTATCCGACAAGACTCTAACTGCCATCTTAAGCTTTTAAATTGATAAAGAAAGAATGTATACTGTACCTGTATCGCTGCTTCAATCTGGCCAAAGTCCAGTGGTTGTCTTCTTTTCAAACCTAATCTCTTTAAGTGTCCTTTCAGTTGACGAAAACTGAAACAAAATGTCGCAATATCTGTACTGAAAATACATTTAATTTTTACATCACGAATTTTTTTTTTAATTTGCCACAAGACATGATCGTTGAATATGTACGCAGAAGACAAACAAGGGCCTATGTGGGTCTCGGATAAAACCGGATAAATGTAACGTGACGTTGACTTTAAACTTTGTTATCATTAATTGAATATAAGTATTGAAAATGTATTGTTTATACATTTTGATCAATGTATCATGAAAATCATGAATATATTCAGGCGGTAGCTGTTTGTTTTTTTTCTTTTTTTCATTTCTCATGATAATTATTTATTTTCCTCTTACAAATACCTTAAAAATAATATCATGTCATGTGTTAAAATTAACAAATATTCACCACTGTTATGTATACTCATGTGTTATATTATATGTAACTTGAGTTAATGTTCTGAACTTTTCTGGTAACGTACTACATTTATATACAAATCAAAGTAAAATAACGTTTTCTTCTGTTCTGTTATGTTATTTAATTGATTACAGATTCAATCGTAATCTATAACAATAAAATCTGAAAGTAATTGTAATTAAGTAAATTACTGATCAATCCCAATGTCTGGCACTTGAAACTATGCTCGGATTATAGCGCCGAATTTACATTTTTATACAGTAATAATTAATCTTCCATAGTAATATAATATTCTTTGGCTTTAAATTCCCAATCGGACCAGGTCAAGGGCAAACATTTCTCACTTTAAGGCATACACATTTTAATAGTCTCGGGAAATAGAATTATCTGGCTCAGTATTTTCTTTAATTTTCCTTTTATTTTCATTTTGTTTTATAATTTACTTTCTTATACCTGAACGTATTGTGATTTTTCATTTTTCCATATCCAAGCAAGAATAATTGGAAAAAAACACATGGCAGCTATACCAAAAGACAATTTTGTACCGTTCGAAAGATTTTGTATGTTGTAATTGAGGTTGTACAACGTGGTGGTTGTGGTGATAGTTTTCACTTCCGATCATGACAGTAAGCCACATTGAATTCACAAGAGCACAGTTCAACCACCGCATTTTCCTTGGCAGGCTGTCAAGCAGTTTACCGGTACTAGTTGCCTTCACTTTCGTAAGGAACTGAAACTTCTTCATAGCAGAGACCAGTGTCAATGACCGTAGAAAGGATTTCATGATCAATCACAACGAAAGTGACCTGCACCCGTAGGGGGAAACCCGATTCACAGTCCAACGCTGTACCTGTTGAGTTAACACCACACTTTCGTGAAATTATATATATTTATATAATAATGCTTTAATATAAAACAAGTTTCAAACATCGAGAATATGTAAAATATGTACTGCAAATATTTACACATATTATATGTAATCATTAAAATATAAGATGTGTGAAGTTGGCGGCCTAGCGGCCTGGCGGCGTGAAGTTGGCGGCCTGCGGCCTAGCGGCCTGGCGGCGTGAAGTTGGCGGCCCAGCGGCCTAGCGGCGTGAAGTTGGCGGCCCAGCGGCCTGGCGGCCTAGCGGAGTGAAGTTGGCGGCCCAGCGGCCTAGCGGCCAAAAATTTTAATGTTGTAAAAATGTTTTTTTAACAATAAAACGGCATTTAATGAAGTTTTAAAGATAATTATTGTTATTTAAAACGATATATCTAAAGAAAAAA